CTATAAATTAACCGAAAATAAAAGGTCAATCATCTTCCCCCTTAGAGATTTCACCTGAAAACATGGACAGTTATAAACCGACTCAGAATTGAACATGTCTGTAATCTATAGTTTTCAGTCAACTAATGTTAAGTGAACAACCTCCTTCTGCAGCAACGCCTGTGGCGGASAACTYTCAACCAAACATCTACTAGCTGAATAGCGCCAACTAGAAATAGAAATATATCCTCCAAGAAATTCATAGTTCTATTTTCTTCAATCAAGGCATTCATTCAAATCGTTGAATTTGATAACCACACACCTTAGATAAAATACTGGACAACAAAACGTAAACTTTTTTAAGGTTAAATTTGTATGTATATATTCAGTTAAAGTTTAACATTTGTTTGTCAAATAACATTACATTTTTACTCCAACTGCCTTTGAAGCATAGGACTTTGAGTCGATGGTATATAAAAAAAAAAGCGTATAATAGACATTATGATAAATTCCAACGAAAAATGCTTTCGTCGTGTGTACAGTGCAGTGCGCACTATATAATACATGACGTGTAGTAGTATAAACAAATTGACCGGCTTCCTGTTCCCGTGGTTCGACGGAGATTGGTGTTGATGTGTTTTTATCGAATCATATATTATACACTATTATTATGTGCACACTGGTCTGTATACGTGCTTGTGTGTGTGCAATTGAAACCCATTAGCTCCTCGGTTCTCATATTATTATTATTATTATTAAACATGCGGCTGCAACTCGTAAACACAGCGTGATGTGCTGGGGCCCTTACTATATAGTAGTAGATGGTAATATATTCTTATTTATTTTTTCTCTGGTCGCACACACGGTTGAGTATATTTCGTCGAGCAGCTACATTATAGTGCACCGTTGTCCTATTATAGGCGTGTACGATATACATATATAGTGATAATAATGTTAATATTATTATCGTAACGCGTGCAGTATAGGTATATATGTCTCTCCGTGGCTGGACCGGGTGAGAAAGACGACGACAMGAACGACTACGCGGTCTTGTATCAATTGTATATTACACGTCGTACCTACATTAAGAATAATAATAATAAAAAAAATACTTAATAACAAATAATATTAAATTATACGACTAATGGTCTTCCGCAGGTTTTTGTCAATGTAGTCTTCGTGGACAGTCCCCCCTGCAGTATACCTATAACACACGACGACACTCATCGGATCGCGTCTATTATACTCGTATATTAATAGTGTTTATTACTCACCTGAATATGTATACTCTTATGGTCTATAGACGCTGTATTTATATATATAAACAGTATACCTACAAAACTTATATTCTATATATTATCTGTCGGGTTACTCCACGAGTTTCTGTTGGGCTCGAAATCTGGAAGCCGATCCACTCGGTGGTCTGAAATATTCTAAGCATAAAAAATTGTCACTCATTTGTTAACATAATTTTCACATTTTTATGTTTTCAAAATATATTAAATKAATTAAGATTAAAACCGTTGTGATCGACCGTAGTGTTAACCTAGTAAAATATTAATTTTTACAATAATAATATTTTATACAAATATAATAACTTAAAATTAAAATATATTATGCTATATAGTTATAATTTATTTTAATCTTATAATYGACTCATTTTATGTAACTAATAAGATTTTAACCCCCCTAAAATGTAATCAAATCTCCACCAAAGTAGGTACTATATATTATACTTGCGGTTTTTGTAGAAAATTGACCAATGATGAATAAATTATATTTAAGCATGTGACTGAAATTATATAGACTATCAAAATTGTATGTCCGATTGGAAGTATATAAATTATATCTTACCTCATGAAGTTTGGCACTGATGAATTAAGTATAAATTCAATATATTTTTAAATGACAATGATTAAAGATTTTTAGATGAAACACCTTAAACATAAGAAGTGTACTAACATTCTKGATTTCAAACKTATACCTAGCTTGATACTATACAAATATTGCGTTGAACCTATAGACTCGTATAATATTAATATGCAGTATATTCGGTAGGTATACAAAGCCTTTTTTTTCATCAAATTGTTTGTATGAATAAAAATCACCGAGTGGGTTGAACCTTAGATAAATAGAATTCGTCATGTACTTTGTTGAACGCTTACCGAAAATGGCCAATTGTTAATGCGTAGTAAAATAATAATATAGAATAGTCGTTATTGCATAATAATATACGACGGTGTATAGTTTCATTGTACCTATATATAAGGCTTTTTTTCTGTGTGGGCTTCTCGTACATCGAAAAAAARTTTTTTTTTAAATAAACGTATACTTTATAACCAGCTGATATTCGCATTTCACAATTCCGTTTACAATAATACTATATGGACAAGAACGTATACCTATAGCCTATATATGCCGAAACGCGTCCATCGGTCTGTAATAGCATCTCTGCGTTATCTGTTCTCCGCGTCTTTGTACCCCCGATGCAAAGATAATTGGCATTGTTGGAAGACTCATCGCGACGAAGGTCTCTTCTCGCATTATGTATAACGGGATCGTCAAAATCGTTCATAAACAGTCAGCATTAAAAAATAAATCTAAAAAACGGATCTGTATTGTTCCTTTAAAGAGGAAACATTCAAAAAACGATTACGATCAATGTATAAAAGAACGTTTGTTTCCCCTCCAGATCAAGACGTTCTGCGCGCGTTATTATGTATGGGTAGGTACCGAGCAATACGCCTATTGATATTGTTGACGAATCCGTTTTTAAAAATTTACCGTGACAAAGGAGAATCTTGAATGCGTCCGGCTAATTCCCAACGCCCTTAATTGACTTGTTTTTTCGTTCTAAAACGATTAGCCTCATCGTATAATAATCTAATACTCRTCATATACGATTTAATACACAATGGGCGACCTCGAACGCGTTTAGGGGAATCCGCGTAATACTCTCTTCATTCATTATTCGTGTGTACTAAATTATTATATTATTTAGGCGCGGGCACAGAGCGCATTAATAATATATAGGTAGGTACTTACGCTCTCGGCGCAGGGGTTTTGACATTTTGACTTATTAATGAACGAGGTATCTCGATATAATTGTGTTAAAGTCACGTATATTAGTAAGTATCAATATTGTCGGATAAACATCTGATCCGGCTAGTCGACGGTATAAGTCAATTCACACAAACYTATAATATAATATATRTTAATATGTATTACCTACCTATATACGTAAATATCATATCATACATGTGATGATATATCACACTATAACGCCACTCAGCTTCATAATCTAATATCATCATAATATTGTCAACTATGAAAATACTAATGTTTAACAAACAACTTTATTTATTAACAATAGTTTCATAAGTCAAAATCCATGACATTTTTCTACATACCTAGCCCATTATTAATTATATCTCAAAGACCAACATATTAAAAACTAATAACTATTTGTACCTTTAAAATTATATAAAACTCAACACCACTTAATAATTATACATACACATATTTATTATTTATAGCTGTATCAAATAACATGATTATATTTCACAAAATTACTTCATAAAAATATATGTTAATAACTTATTGTGGAACAACAAGTCAAAAGGTCAATACTATAAGAAGTAGAGCCCCTTTTTTCATTTTCAATTCTGCCTGCTCCCATCATACAACTAGTTCAGTGCAACTTATACATCGTCTTATCCTAAAGCAAGAGCTTATTTAATCTAATTTCATCATCGACCTTTTTATCTTGCTGTGAAGTAGTAAAGTCGCCAGACTTGTTATCTAGAATAGGTTTTCGCATTCCAGGTACAACCCGTTCTCGTGACCCCTACTACCTTGCTTCAGTGTCAAAAAATTATTTGGATGATGATCCTTTAAGGAGAGCTATATGCCTTTAGTTAATAGTCAAACTAGTTAAACATTTTTTCTAATTTAGGTTTTTGTTGCGTTAAATTTAATTTTCAGGAGCCTACTATGTACTACTGTATAATTTTAATTTATTGATATTCAATGTGTTATGTTTGGATATGTATATAAAAAAAAAATGTTATAATGTATATTCATTAATTAGTAATATATATGGTAAAAGCTGTTTGGCGTTTAAAATAAAAATAAATAATAAAAAATTACTTTTCAAAACCGAATTACGACTGCTTTAATTCTATTTAAACATCTTCCTCAATACCAAGGTATTCGTTCAGATTCTATTTATCATCTCGTCTATACAACGCAGTATCTGCAGGTAAGAGAATATATTAATATACAATTATGTATCCAGGGTAATAAGATCATTATTGAGTAAGACAACGCAGATTCTGGTGTAAAGATGTGAAATAAATAATATTTATGAATCTATATTCACGATCCCGATTAATCGTAATAATATACAGGCTTAAATTCATAATAATAGTAAAGTCAGGATRGTAYRGCTACTCCTAGCTCCATCAATTATTATTGGTTGAAAGTACYTGCCCGTAACATCTAGGTTAATATATTATTATAAGGTAAAGTCTCATTAAYAGCAACGTACGAGCTTATTTTTGATTCATTACATACATTTATAGCTGGAATAATATTATTGACCGAATTCACTGATACGTCGACGGAATGTTTKATCGAAGGATATATAACATATACGTGGCGTTATAACATAATATAATATAACGATTTATTAAATGCAAATATATAATTACCTTATGTCTAAACGAGTTCGTATTATTATAAACCAGTGAACGCTCTGAATACCTACCGTCTACCGAATACTCTTTAGGTTGCTGAAATTCTGTCAAAAATTTCACTGAATTGTCATCATACTGTGTGACACGCGTTTATAGTAATCCGAAACTACCTTGGCCGTTGTACAAACGCTATACGCCTATAAAAACAAATTATTRTTATGTTAGTATATGGTCCGATTTATAAAACGATGATCGGATGGCATAATATTATAGTGCAAAAATCATACGTAAATCGCTAACGACGGATTTTTTTTTCTTTTACAGGTGCTTACTTACAAGTGTGTGGAAAGTCGCAAGAGACGTGTTGTCACGAAAACTCCGAACCACAACTGGTGACCGTGGGTAGAAGTATGTACGACGACAAACTGCAGACTTCGTTGAAAACCCTAAGCGGCATGTACAAAGAGAAAGCTGCGAAATTCGATGGTTTGT